AAAAAAAAATTAAATAAGACCGAACTCTGATGTCTATACGTCAATCAAATATCATTTTATTTTGATGTAAAATTTTATTAATGTACTCTTTGATATCGACGTTGTTACCACAGAAAAAGCTTCTTCAGCTTAATTCCTTACTTATTTTCTAGATTTGTGTATATCAGACCAAAAACTGCCAATTTTCATCATTTGATAGTACATCGTGATGACGAATAACAATTATCGAACGTGTCCTCCCACACGTTGGGATAACTGTGTGTTCCAAATTGTACGGCATTAAATATGACGCCGTATTTGCTCTCTATAACACCGTGTGCCTTTGTGTTCCGAAGATTTAAAACGACGATAAAACGAACAGACATTGTTTGTCCTTAGTTAAGGGCTGTCCAAAATACTGGCTAAAAAGGTGTCTAATTTTTATTTTAAAAATGATTTTTTGTAAAGTGATATGTGAGCAAATCAAACAAAACTCTGGACTTGATCACTTTTATGATTATGGCCAAAATCTTACTAATATTATAAACGCCAAAGTTTAGATGGATGTCTGTTAGAGTTTGCAGCCTAAACTGCTGAACGGATATCGACTTAACTTCGCATAGATGTAGCATATTCTTCTTCTTTTTCTTCAAGACTGAAGTACACGTAGAGTACTAATTAAGTTTTTGATTATTTCGCGCTGTCGAAGTGCGAAAACCAGTACATTAAATAACAAGAAGCATAGCCTATAGAGCATTGGTTAATATAGAAGCTACGTCTGTCATATATGGCAGTCATGCATTTTTGCACAGTTCAGATAATGCAGTTTCCTGTGACTCACTGCATTATCAGTTAATCACAACATAACCCACTTCACTGACAGTAAGCGTAGCTACGTGAAATATTGCAAACATTTTCAGGCAGCTCTTATGATTCATTTGTTGCAATACAAATTATTTAAGAGTATTCACACGAGGGCTTGTCACTAATTAAACTGAGTTTAATTTTTATAAGCATGAAAGGGACACTGGCCGAATAACTCGAACCCACGACGTCGTGTTCAGTAAACCACACTGTTACTGGTATTTGATAAATTTGTGACTGATTGGACAGTAATGATTTTCTCATATAAGTAATGTTACAATCATCTTCGGTTTAAATTAATTATTAATGTTAAAATTTGTACTTATTATATTCGATTCGTATCTCCAGCTTGTGATGAAGACAGTTGGCTTTTTATGGATAATTCTTTGTGCAGCATGCGGGGTGGCGCGAGGTGCTCGTGTGGTGGGAGGCGGCGCGGTGTCTCCGGGCGAGCTGCCATGGCTGGCAGCTCTCAAGAGGGACGGCAAGGTCATCTGCGGCGCTACAGTCGTCGCCAGGGATCATCTCATCACGGCTACACATTGCATCTTCGAGTGAGTACTGTATTTTCTATAGCACTATTACTTAGATGTAATATTAATAGGATTATTAGTAACTAGCTTTCGTTCGCGATTAAAAAAAAAAACAAAAGTGAAAAGCCTATGTGTTCTTCAAGACTATTTTCTACATCTATACCAAATTTCATCGAAACCCGTTCAGTCGTTTAGGCTATAAACCTTAACAAACATCCATCCATCCATCTAAACTTTCACATTTATAATATTAGTATGATAAATCACCATTAAACCTAAAAATAATAGTCGAATGCGCTAAGTACTGTGTAATGTGATATATACCTAGCTTTATTTTAAAGGCCAATTTAAATTATATCCTATCTGCAACAAAAAAGTGCGTTAAGAATCGTAGTGTACACTACACCTAATTCATATTTCAAACAGCAAGAGAATGCTAACATTTACTCAGACGTTATAATCTCAGTCTTAACTAAATGCAAAACTAAAACAATGAACGGAAGTACAATGAGATTCGCACGAGATATAAAAATCTCCTGCTCATTTCTCTTACGAAATTCCTGATTACTTCCCTATTGTAAAGTTAACTACAAACTTTTACTATCTATTTTAGTAATGACTAGATAATGACGCGTTTTAAAAAGTTTTCTGTCGTGGAAAGACATGGGACGTATACAACGACTCATGTTTTTGTGTGCGGGTTGTAATATAATTTTATTATTTTATTTTACACACTATTTATTTTATTTTACAACTTTCCTTTATATAATATGAGTATAGACAAAAGAGGGAGCTTATTACAATTTTGTAAAACGTTTTTACATGTCGATATACGATATACGAGGTGGCAGTAAACTTGACTGACCTTTCAGAGAAAGTGCCGGTGTAAAAATTCATTTGCCTAGTCTATATATGTCTTAAATGTGTTTGGATTTAACATATATATTTGGCACTTTTATTCTTGGTTGATATCGGGCAGGAGGTCAACAATATCGTCTGACAATGTCGTTGGCATACGTCGAGACCGAATGGAAAGTGCACTCAACACAATCTTATGACAACAGACACGGTGTATAAATATTGACGAATCAGTCATTAAATTTCACTTATTCTCGCTTTCAAGTTCATTTGAATAAAATCCGTTAGCTTATCATTGTATGCTAAATAACTGTGTTATCATTCAATTGAACTATGAAATTTAATTAAGACAAAACATACCTATATTCTATACTAACATAATAAAGCGTAAACTTACACTACTTCGTGACGTAGGATGTCGTCAATCACAGCATATTTTTGAATAATCCATTCTTTAGTAACTCACGACACGCTTTAGACTTTACATTTTCTTACCATTAAACTTAAATATTTTGGATGAAAAACCTTCATGTGGGAAAGGGACAATAAACTACAAACTGCCGACATTTAGGCAACAAAAATATTATGGTAACAGTTATTTTGACATTTGCAATTAAGGAATCGACACATGTCAACAATAAAATAAAGTTTTTACAATTTCGTGCAGATGAAGCCGTACGGGAACACCTAGTCTTTATTATATGTTTTGTAGCCTGAAAATGTTTACGTATTTATCAATTTACATAAAACAAATCTTTGTTTTCTAAAGAAAGTTCGCACATGCATTATAACATGATCTTGGTGACTTTCTTACTGTTTCCGGTGACCTATAAACCTTATCATCCGAAAAGAATATAAGATAAAGTGTCATTATCCATTCAACTTCGATTAAATGTTTATCTTTAATTTGTCTCGATACACGATACGGGGCCGATACTTGCATTACTTTTTATTGAAAGTACAGTGAGCGGAAAATTACTTGAATGAAATGGAATACATCGAGAAAAAATGTGACGGAAAATGTAACGTATATAAAATAGAAAAGAATTCTAGACGTAGAAGCAATTGTAGTCACATTCTCATGGTTCTCTTACGAGTAGTTTCTAACCATAGTCATAACATAACAACTGTCTAGATTTAAAAGATATCGACTTTTCACTCTTTTTATCTAAAGAAAACTGAAATAACAATATATTTGTTTCTGCAGATAACATACACGATAAAATTGACAAACTCAAAAAAAATAAAAATAGTCAAGATATTTTCTTCTGACTGTACCTCTATATCTTTACAACCTTCACTTGAAAATCTGTAGTATTCTGATCTACTTACATACTTTTAAAATACCCGACCAATATGGTGCAGCGGCATTTTTGCATTACACGAGATCGCACAGATAAAAAAAGGTGAAATTCGAATCGAAATCGTTTTACTTAAGGAATACTTTTAACCTACATTTTAACGATATAATGATACGATTTTTAGGACTCCTTCGATTTTGGTTACAAACAAGAAAGTAGCCAAGAGTAAAACACGCTGTATACGCTAAATTCTGTCAGTTTTAACTGAAAAGTACTGTTCAGGTAAAAATTTACGCGTAAATTATAACGTTACAGTTCTAATGACAATTAAAACTGTGCCTCTTCAGTATGTAGTATGTAGACTTTATATCGGACGCATTGTAAAATAATAAAAAAAAACATTAGTTTGTATGGGTTTAAGATTATCGTAGTTTGTTAAATAAACACAGTTTAATATTATAAACCATCGAAACAAATTCAATGTAACAAAAAGGTAACTAAATGTACTCCAGAGTACTGTTATTACGGAACATTGGAAAGTCATAATGCGTGTAAAAAGTATTTAAAAATTAAACAATATGTTTATTATACTAAAGATATCTGACATAAGAAAATGTAGGTCGCCTTTCAATTAGAGATCTCTCGGATTCGAATAAGAGAAATAAAACTTTAATTTCCTAATTAACCAAATTGGAATTATATTTACACGGCATTATTTTTTTAACACTCGTTTAAAAACCGATATTACGTTCTTTACCGAAGATTGTAAAGGTTCGCGAAAGTTCGCTGTAAAGGAGCGCTTCCATTAAAGTTCGCAGGTAACCTAAAAATTGTAAACACGAAAATTCAATAAATTCGATAGTAAGTAGTTATTTACAAAGCTAATTTATAATAAAACGAAATAAGCAATTTCTCATTATTCATTTGAAATTACCACCAAACTTTGAATTACTAACGAGACAGATCGATATTCAAGTTCTAGTGAAAACGCACCTTTAGAATCAATAATTCTAATTATTTATTTTATAATGTTGTTGTTACTTAGGTGTGGAAAGTTTCTTCCGGTTGTGTCATTATGTTGTCCTTTTTTTGTCATGTTGGTAAAGTGTCGAAATCCTTATTTTATTATTATTGGTTCGTTTCCCAATTTTATATTTTAATACCAGTGAAAAGACTTAAATAACATCTCAAAGTCGTGTATTTTAAAGGATTGTGTTGAATACAATTTTAATTCGCTAAAGTCTCAGTCAGCTGTCGACTTATCTAAACATAATTTTCATCACAAGATTTGTGATAAATTTATGTTCTACTTATTACCTTATATTATCACTTTATATTTTTTACATAATCTTACGATTTTATTGGAAGAAAACAAATTTTAAAAGTTAACTGTTTTATTTTTAAATTTCCATTTATTTTATCATTACACAATGATTCAATAGCGGTAGGTTAAACTAAATTTCAAAGGAGTAAAACTCAAGTTACGTAGTTCTAAAACTCACATCAAGATATTTATCGAAGCAATAACACTTACGAATGGTTAGACGTAGCTAGAGAAATGTTAATTTCGAAGTAGTCTCAAATACAAAAGTGTCTATTTGCTAATTTTGGAGTCAAAATCACATCACAAAGGGTCTATCGCGAACGTTTGTGTGACAGTTTCGAGAACGTATTTGTAATGTTTTCGACATTTCTATTAGGTTTGTTGGTTTGGTGGTTCGGTAGACAATGTTCTAATCTAACACAAATCTAAAGAATTCGTGATAGTTCTCTGGACAGTCTTAGTTGGCAACCACGCTTTTACAACTGTGACTTTTTTCCTTATTTTACAGCAGTTATAAAAAACTTAGTAGCTTCGTAAAGATTAAAAAGTTTCCATTATCGATAACTAACCTAAAAATTACTTGCTGCGAATTCATAACGATTTCGTAAATGTTTGAGTCAACGGTGAAGGGCAGGAGGCCAAGACAATTTGCTTTTTTATGTTCGTTCGAATGTAAAATAATATGTAATCTTTGTACCGCTTCTCATAATGTTGATTATGAGCTCTTATGTTTATGAAACAACTTTCCGCGGTAAAATTAACTACAGGACTCGAGTAATTAAAGTGGAAGTATTACTCAATTTAAAGGAACACTCATTTAAAAGTAAAAAATCCGTTTTCAAATTCAATAGAATTATAAATGCATGCAAAAAAAAAAATATAACTACCCAACGAGAATGTGCAGGGTTCTCACAAACCAAAAGGTTTAAGAACCTGAAGGAAAAGAAGACGATATTGTACTGTACTTATAATCAATAAATAAATAAATAAATAAAATAAATTAAGAGTAGAAATTATCATTCAAGAAAAAAATCGATTAGTAATAAACATTTTTCTCAGATATCGAAGAATACATAGGAATTTTTACTATTTTTTACTCAAAGTAAACTTTTTTATTACATCTAAATTTGTTGAAGCCATACATCATCTTGAAAAGAAAAGTCGGGTTTATAGAAGTTTTTACCACATAACTCCCAAAAGGCTGAACGAATCGGAATGAAATTTAGAACAAAGATAATTTGTCTAGAATATCTTATAGGCTATTTAAATCCACACGGACAAAGTCACGAGCATCGTTTAGTATCCAAATTTTAAGTAGAATAATTTTGCCCAATATCTGTAATATTATCCTTAAAAACCGTTGTTTACAAATCGTTTCATAATAAAATTTGAGTGTTTTATGCAATAAAAAAGCAGGACAGGGCGATGATGATGACCCAAATCACTTGCCTGACCTCCAAAGGGCTCGAATTATGCAATAACTCGTGTGCGTGCGCCAAATCAATTTGCATTCACTGTATAACAGACAAATTACCGAGAATATTGAGTAATTTCAAAACTTTCCTTTTAATTAGCTTCCGCTAAATATAAAAAACAGAGATCCTTTCTGTTTTTATATATAAATATGGTAAATTATAAGGTAGCAAATACATACGCAATAACGGATGCGTTGTCTACCCTTAGTCGACGAAGGAGGCGACGCACATAAACAGGATATTTCCCCTTCTATGCATTACCTCCACCGTACAATCCACGTTTCTTTTCCATTCTTATCTTATAAGAAAAAGAGTCGGAAGGAAAAGGGCCTAAAGTTGGGCTTCTGGCCGCGGTGTAACTTGTTTCGTCTGATGAGTGTGGTGGCCAGTGAGGTATTGCTCCCATTTCACGCCTGTCTTCTATATGGTCGTGTTATATCACCGGGCGAGCCGACTCATGTGTGCATATGTTAAAGCGGGCCCTACCACTGTCTTCTGCCATATTTAATAAGATAACATTATGATTAGAAGCTTCGCTAATGGAAATTCACGGATACTTACAGTTATGTGTGGAATTTTAAAGTTTTAACTGTTGATTTTTTAACAAATAACAATAATGTTTTATCAGTTATTACGTTACCTCTTTCTGACGGAAATTTTCATTCGTTTACATAAACTAGTCATAAATAACCAAATACGCGGGTAAAATCTAGTTTAGTTAAATACGTAGTATAAGTAAGGAAAATTTGCTAATGAAAGGAAAAATGTTAAGGGAAAATAACAATTTGAACTGACTCTCTAATTGTCGTATGTAAAATGTAGTTATGTTAATTAATTATCTGTGCTTCAAATGACAAACAATCCTTTACTTGACTATGAGGGTGTAAAAAGTATCCTCGAGCGCTTCGAGAAGAGTGTTCGGTGAGTCTCGCCTCAGCTAGTGCTTTGCTACCTATTTCTAACTACGTATAAACGTGTAAATCAATCTCTTATGACATCCATATTTCATATGCAATTGTTCATGTAATACATGTCAAGTGTCTCGAAAGTTAAAGGTCAGTAGGTGCATGTGAGATTCTATACTTATTATTTTCTTAAACATTACGTAAATCTTTGTTTAACTTCCAGCATAAATAATACGGAAGTCTGTACCTGCTTTAATGTCATTTAAAATAAACTATGATATTTTATGCGATAATAAAATCTAACTCATAAATATAATAGAAAGTGATTTCAATACGACTCCAATTTGATTTTAAACATTTAGGTGGCCAATTACTAGATCTTTTACCTATACACTCCTTAATTACAGCTAAATAGAATGGTTTAGTTAAGTGATTTTTTTTTAAATAAAGCTATAAACATTCTTGCATTAATATGCACACTATTCTATAGTCCATTAGTTCTAAATTAGCGTATCGAGGTCAAGATCGTGCATTAGATGCGTGAATGCGTTCCATTCTTCAGTTACGCAGCGGAGAGCACGACTTTTGTAAGCGGGCGTGCCGTGAATTATAAACGCCATCTCTTGGCTCACCTAGCCAGTTAGCGGTGCCAAGGAGACATAGATTATGTAATCAAACCTTAACCTTCGATATTTTTATGAATGGAAAATCATAGATTAAAGAAATTGTATGTAATCTCCATCACCAGCTGCTTTACGTTTCTACTGAGGGGCTCGGAGCCTACTGAGTTAGGGTGACTAAGTCATAGTCAACCACGCTGGCCCGCTGCGGTTTGGTTGACTTCACATATCTTTAAATTTCTTCGCCGATATGTGCAGGCAGCACGATGTTTTCCTTTATCGTAAAAACGTACCCTACGTTACCTAACCTAAATAATGTAAATATGGAATTCAAAAATCGAAAATCACATTGGTACATGGCGGGATTCGAACCCAAGATCTGTAGATTACAAGTCAAATGCTTAAACCACCGAGCCACCGACAGTTTCTTATATAATATAATCCGTAGTGCGGGAAATGTCATTACTATAAATTTGCACGCTCAAAGGAAATAAACATCATACTTCATACTAATATTATAAACGCGAAAGTTTAGATGGATGGATGCATGTTTGTTCGAGTTTGTAGTCTAAACGGCTGAACGGATTTTGATGAAATTTGGTATAGATGTAGACGATAGTCTGGAAGAACACATAGGCTACTTTTTTTGATACTACGTTGACGGAGTCGAAAGCTAAAAGACTATTCTTTCACGAGTAAATTTTAATTCCAGAGTGGAGGCGTCTCGATTATCAGTGCTGGTGGGAGAGTATGATGTAAACAATTCCCAGCAGGACGGCATCCCGGTGTCGCATGTCACACAGCACCCTGACTTCAATAGATTCACCTATGACAACGATATCGCTGTACTCCGGCTAGCTGAACCCATACCTGAACATCTGTATAGATCCGCTTGTTTGCCTGGTGAGTTGATATTTATAAAGTTTACTATTAAAGGAATCCATACCATCTTTCGAAACTATTAAGCGCTACAATAAACTATAAACTAATGTGTGATTGCCACAGTAAATAATGGAATGTAAAAAAAAAACTATTTTTATGTTTTCAAAACTGTCTAAAACCGTTAATCATAAAATGTAAAATGCAAAAACCGTAAAATGCATTATTTTTGCATAAATATCGTATATATGACCAATCTATTACGATCTATATGTTCTATGTTACTAATATACATCTTATAATTTAAGATTTAAAAATTATAAATCGTACGGTACTTCTGTATAACGGCTTTGATAAGACATAAATTGTTGCATTTTATTAGACAGAATTAGACCGCTCTGAATAATATTTCCAGTAATAAATTCAAATTGTCTATGTCCAACCATGGACAAAAGTCAACTGTAAAACGTTCCGATTAACGTAATTAATATAATTTAAAAGAGATCACATCTGTATTCTAATTAATACTTGTACCTATTATTTTAATTAACTTGTTTTAAAAAATTCCGTTAAGTTGTTTTAATTTATTTTTTGTTACCAACAAGTTGTTTAAACGGAGTAAAATTAGTTAGTGGTAATATGCAATTAATTTAAGAAAAAGAAATAATTTATTACCTTAACACAGAACTTTTAATGGTGTATTTTATGTTGATTTAACATATATTTTAATTATGCGTGGACTAATTAGTTATGATTGATTCTTTTTGTGGTTTATAATCTGGGTCACTCCACGTCCAATTAGTCATAAAAAGCGGAATGTTTTTTTAACATACTAATACCGCCACTGTATTTATACGCGTTTTGTAGCTTGTCTAAGAAAAAGCTATTTTTTTGTGTCGTTTATAAAGAGGAAAAATCCTTCAGGTGGATTATTTGTGCTCGCCTAAAAGACTTTACAGTTCAATTTAAATATGTTTAATGTAAATTACTTTCAGACTTTGACGATGACAACCGGCTGGAGGGCGTAGAGGCGATAGTGTCTGGCTGGGGCAGCACTATCGAAAAAGGTCCACCTTCTAGCATCCCTATGAAGGTGAGTATTGAATACTAAACTTACGCCTTCATTCTTAATGCGAAATGATAGCTGATCTCTTTAACAACATTTAATTTTAATTAACTTAGATCTTATTCATAAAATTATTATAGTATCTGTCGTAGATCTTTTCACCTTGAATTTTTATGTGGGGTCGATACACGAAAAATTTTTGAAATTCAATCAAACACTCAATTTTTGCAGCTCTTGATCTAGTTTTATCTAAAATTGATTTACTCACGGACTAGACTGCAAAAAGATCATTTTTTAAAAACATTTTTGTTATTACTAGAATTATCAGCCAATGTAATCGTTTCAGGCGGAGGTGAACATATGGGCTCAAGAGGAGTGTTCAGGCGCGGGCTACGGGCGGCGCAAGGTGACGCCGCGCATGCTCTGCGCCAACGCGCCCGAGCGGGACTCCTGCACCGGGGACTCCGGCGGGCCCCTGCTGCTCACCAGACCGCATTATACTATTGTTGGTGAGTGCACACTACACAACAAAGTCAACTAAAACTGATGATCTGCAGATCAGCACACACGCATGAGTCATGCAAATCAGTGAAGCGAAACGTAGATTAGCTCAATTTGTACTTCCTTAGAGATATCATTTGAGTAAGTTTCTTACTAGCAAGTTCGCGGTTCGTCAGCTTCCATAGTTGTACATCGCGTTGATCCATAGCTCAATGCTTCCAGGTTATATGATCTTTCGAGCCGGTTCAGAGCTGATTTACACACTTCTAGTGTGTACAGCAGAATCCATGGGTTCACACTGTCTAAACATCTACATAATATCTTACCTTTGCTGTTTTAAAAACCAATACCTGTACTTGTTTATATACTCTGTAATTATAACCTCAAAATTATCTTCTCGTAATTCATACCCAGTTATTATCTGTAGTAAATTTTATTCTATGATGATGGTTGATGGTTGTTTGATGGATGATGATGGTTTGTATGATGATTAATCAAGAAAATATCTCGTTTGCTATAGGTATAGTTTCGTGGGGGCGCGGGTGCGCGCGGCAAGGCTACCCGGGCGTGTACGCGCGCGTCGCCAAGTTCCTGCCGTGGCTGAAGGTGGCGCTGCGACACGCCTGCATGTGTCACACACCTAATTAATGACGGAAACTAACGAGGCTAGACAGAGAGGACAAATTACTCTTAGGAGGCTAGAGAGAGAGAGAAGGACAAATATACAACTCTGGTCGCAAGTGATTGCTGCTATTGCATGTGATACACTATGATTAGAGGTTGTCTATGGTGCATAGTTCAACATTAATTAACCTATATTATGTCTACAAATGTTTACCATAACAGTTTAGTGATAAAATCGCTATTTGAGTTACCTATAACTGATTTCCTAAAGAGATATTAAGATCTAAAATAGTAGATGCTATGATCTTTAATTCAACAGTAATTTACATATGGATTACAGTTATTAATTTAAAGTGTGAGGCTTAACGTAAAATGAGGCAACTCATAAAGATTGCAAAGTTATTTTTTTACAATGTAATGTACAGTTAAAACAAGTATGACCCTTTCAACTTTTACGACAGGGTCATGGCCATAGTGACCTTAAATGCCCCTATACATTCATAAATCTACATACTTTAGTTGATGTGGCTTGTCAGCATTACTTAGCTATAACTTCAATTAATTGCATTTTAAAATATAATTTTAAATTTATGCACGGTTCACACTTGGCCAATACAGTTAATTAGTAGTACTAAATAAGTCGACTGTCAATCAACTGGCACAATTTAAACGCTAACTGGCACCACTGAGTCCAGACAATCTATGACTGGCTGTCGCAACTGTTCTGTACTGTACTGGCCAAGTGTGAAGCAAGCATTATGTGTGTGCACTGGCCTTTATACGACAAAAATTACATAAAAAAATTGTAGCGCGCATTCGTTCATGTAAAAATATTGCTTGAGTAACAAAACAAATCGCATTATATTACTTAATTTATTTATCAGTATTATGTAGAATTATGTAATGTCAAGCTTTTTAACATTATGCATAGTTAAGTATTAGTTGTACTATTTAAATGTTAAGTAAAATGGCTGTGATTAAATGTAATTAAAATAATCTTACCTACATAAAATGTTACCATATAATTAATAATTATTTATTATTTTATATTTAAATCTAAGGTCCACTTTATTTCAAATAAGAAGATTGTATTTTTATTTGCGTTTTAAATATAAATAATCGTGTACAAAATCATTGTTTTCATTTCTACATCATCCTTTAATGCAAGTAGTTAATTTCAATCATCGCCCGGGCAAAGTTAAAAGGATTTTTAAAGGTATATTTCACAGTCGCAAAAGTTTAAACTGCTAGGAAGTGAAACCATAACCACTGATAATCCATATTTATAGAATCCGGCCATACATATCAATAAAGAACATTTTAATTTTTTTAAGATCATTCGTGAGATTCTTATAAAAGAAATTAATCTGTATTGACTTTGTCTGAAAACGTCAAAACTCCCGCGAAAATTTGACATTTGACGTTTAGGACGCCATCGCCAGCTGATAATCGTGTATTGAAAATAAAAATTGAATTCATTATCGTTGATTGTATTAAACATACATATTGGACACGTTTATTATTACCTTCACATAGCAATTGGTGGTTACTATGAATTTCTCTGACAATGATGCTGTAAGTAGACAAATTATAGTTCATTTTATAATGAGTCAGCGACATGACTTTGTTTTAACATTGAAAGTGAATGATCGAGGTATACGGTTAAAAATTCTTATTGTTGTAACTGTTTAAAGTTGTTTTATGATGCTCTTAAATAAACGTGAAGCAAGAACTTATGACCATTATAATAAACCCCAAATTACTTTATTGTTTGTTGAGAGCTGATACGTCGAGTTTAACATTTTCAAATTACTTAGGATGACACATCAAGCGTTGAAAGTACTTCAAATACAGATAATACGTCTCGCAGTGAGACCCCAACTAATTCACGTGTAAAAAAACGAAGACGCGGCAAGAAAAAAGTTACAAAACAAGTAAAACCACCATATAAATTTAAGTAAGTATAGTTTAAGCATTTTATTATTTTAAATATTTTAACATTTGGTTAAATTATCAATCAACAGTCAAAGGTTCCCAAGCCCTTATGCCACAAAGCATAATAATTTAAACATTAGAAGTATATTAATTAAAATTTCTGAATAACTATAATGTGTACAAATTCCAGTAGCAGCTAAAATCATTCTTATTGCATCGGTACCAAGTTTTGAGCTCCTTTTAATGTGGTTATTTTAATTTTAGTTGTAGTGCAAAAGAAGACCATGGTTTACCATTATTTGGGTGTCAATTCAACCACCATTTAGGAGAGGGGGAGCCACTCATCTTCGCGGTAGTTGGGAGCAACAGGGTTTCTATATATGAATGCCCTGAATCGGGTGGATTCCAATTCCTGCAATGTTACGCTGATCCTGATGTTAGTAACTATAAATTAAACATTAATACCTACAGAAATCTATCCTAGTATTATAAAGAGGAAAAATACGTATTTTGGTATGTATTAAAATAACTCAAAAACTACTTGGCCAATTTTAAAAACTCTCACCGTTAGAAAGGTAATTTATCTATGAGTAACATAAGCCTTTTTTAATTTCATGCAGACGAAGTTACAAGCAACAGCATACAAAAAATAAATTATTTCACAGGTAGATGAAACATTTTACACTTGTGCATGGTCATATGAAGAAGAAACGAATCTGCCTTTATTGGCGGTAGCGGGCTCTAGGGGTATTGTGCGTATCTTCCATCCCGCTACACACACTTGTATCAAACATTACATAGGACATGGTCATGCTATCAATGAAGTCAAATTCCATCCCAGAGACCCTAATTTATTACTCTCAGCGAGTAAAGACCATGCACTTCGTCTTTGGAATATCATGACTGATGTCTGCATTGCTATATTCGGAGGTGTAGAAGGGCACAGAGATGAGGTCTTAAGTGCGGACTTTGACCTTAAAGGTGAAAGGATAATGTCCTGCGGAATGGATCACTCGTTAAAGTTGTGGCGTCTCGACAAACCATCAATGAATGAGGCTATTAAACAAAGTTATAATTTCAACCCGCACAGAGCGTTGAGGCCTTTTAATTCACTGAAGGAACATTTCCCAGACTTCTCTACCAGAGATATACATAGGAATTATGTTGATTGTGTCAGATGGATGGGTGATTTAATTTTGTCTAAGGTAAGAGTTTTATATTCTTTTAATACAGTAACATACTTACATCTCTATGTGACATAATTATATTAATAGGAATTATTCTATACTATTATAATAAAGTGTAAACACACACTTCTTTGTTGCCTAAGTTGTTAGGAATCAGAACATATTTTTGAATAATTTTTTTTTAATAAATAGCCCTACACTTACGTCACGCTTAAGGCTATATATTTTCACACTATTACCATTACATTAAATTTAGGGGGTAAATATTTTGGATAAGAACCCTAAATGTGGGTAAGAGAATATAAGTTGTGGCCAACATCAAGGAAGCAAGATTGTTGAGGTCTGTCATGTCATGTCATTTTGACAGTGACTATTGATAATTGTCAAATGTCAATTTATAATTTCATGCAGATGAAGCCGCATGGGAACAGCTAGTGTAAAATAATATGTTTTCTTCCAGACTATGTTCTACATCATTATCAAATTTCACCATGATTTGTTTAACTGTTTAAGAGATACATAATAACAAGAATCCATCCATCCCAACTCATTTATAATATAAGTAAAAATAGCTTTCGTGCACAACTCCATCTGCATAGAATTGGAAATACCAAACATAAGTTGTCTATGTGTTCTTCCAGACTTATTTGAGCTAAATTTCATCAAGATCCTTTCAGCAGTTTAGCATACGAAAATTCATCCATACAAATATGTAAAATTTAAATCTATGGATAGAGTTGACGAAGTCGCATGCAACAGTTAGTTATAAATAAAAGTGTAATGTAAAAAGTGGTGTGCCGTAGTCGTGCGAGAACGCGATAATCTGCTGGAAGCCGGGGCGGCTGGAGGAGGCGGAGCCGCGGCCGGGCGACGCCGCCGTCACCGTCGTGCACCGCTTCGACTACAAGGAGTGCGAGATATGGTTCATCCGCTTCGCCGTCGACTACAGCCAGCGGGTACACCACACTGCAAACCATCACCAGCTCCCTATACCTCCTCACTGAGGGACTCGGAGCCTACCTTTAGGAGTGACTAGGCCCTAGTCAACCACACTGTCCCACTGTGAGATGTCGTCACACATATCTTTGAATTTCTTTGCCCATATGTGCAGGCATCAAGATGTTTTCCTTCGGCATGGACAAATTCGAAAATTGGTACATTGCGGGATTCGACCTCAATACCTGTAGATTACAGTCAAGTGCTCAAACCCCTGAGTCACCGACGCTCTTATATAAATATTAATAATACACTTAAAACCTTTTATGTTGTTCACAGAAATGCCATCAAAATTAGTGTCAATGAACTGGCGGTTTTAAATAAAATAATATTCAATAAAGCATTGTGTTCCAGGTGATAGCGCTGGGCAACCAGAGTGGTAAGACGATGGTGTGGGAGTTGGGCAACGTGGCCGGCGGCAGCCGCGTCTCCCAGCTCGTGCACCCGCGCTGCGTCGCCGCCGTCAGACAGGTAGCCCACACAACACTACCTCTACACAACACTACCTCTACACAACACTACCTCTACACAACACTACCTCTACACAACACTACCTCTACACAACACTACCTCTACACAACACTTCCTCTACACAACACTACCTCTACACAACACTTCCTCTACACATTACTACCTCTACACAACACTTCCTCTACACATTACTACCTCTACACAACACTTCCTCTACACATTACTACCACTACCTCAAAACTAAACTGTAGAAAGTAATTATCAATCACCTCTAACCACTCTCAGAGATTCGTCGTGGAGATTGTCAGTTACCATAGGCATCGCCAGAAAATAGTAAAACAAATTCAAAATATTAAGATGCCTACAATCCCTAGACACTTCTATTGTAGGGTCGGCACGCACAGTGCAATACCACGATCACACAGAAGATAGGCATAAAGAAGTAATTCCGCGTACAGTCTGATGCGAGGCGGATGCCTAATTTTAGTTCTATTTCATTTTTCATTTCCGCCTTCTCTTATAAGAAAAGGAAAACTGAATTTGATGGTAGAGACCCATAGGAAAGGACAATATCCTATTAATCTCCTCCGTCTAACATAAGGTGGCAAACGAGCAAGCGGCCACCTGAATCCGCCAAAATGGCGAAGCGACCGCTGCCCAAAGACATCCGCAATTGCAGATGCGTTGCCTACCCTTATACGACGGAGGAGGAGACGCACATAAAGAGGATATTTCCCCTTCCTGTGCATCTCCTCCACCGTCAAATCCACTTCCTCTTCCCAACCTCTCCTTATAAGAAAAGGGTGGTATAGAGAAAGGGACTTAAATTAGGCCTCCGGCACCACACTCACATCAAACGAAACACGGAGTTGCTTCCGTTTCACTCATGTCTTCTGTGTGGTCGTGGTATTACCGGGGGCGTGCCGGCCCTGCAGTGCTAAGATGTTAAAGCGGGCACTACCACTGTTAAAATATTAAATGCTAAATGCTTAAAGTTTGGATGGACTTTGAGAATATATTACAGCGTGGAATACCGCTTGGGCTCTTTTTTATTTCTATGCGGACGAAATCGCATACAGTTGTTTTTTTATTACATTTATACAGGTGACATTGTCTCGTAACGGCAAAGTTCTTCTAACGTGTTGCGACGACGGCACCGTGTGGCGCTGGGACCGCGTCAACAACAACTGACAGCGGCGAGTGTTGTCGCACGTGTCTTACGATGTCACTATCCCACTCTAACAAGCGGGAAACAATGTACTTACACGTGCGACAGCTGAAATTCACCTTAATCTCAAATAAACAAGACTGGCTTAGTCCAATTATAAAATGATTTTTATTTCTAAACTAGCTGTTCCCGTGTGGTTTCATCCGCATGAAATTATGAAAACTTTATTTTATAGTTAACA